TTCTCAGAATTTGTTTAATATTTGGTTCTTTTTTTTTCCTTTTCTGATGAAAATCAATGTCCATTTTTCAGTTATAATGAATTAAAGCAATACAGAATTTACCTTAAAAGGGACAAAACCGGGCAGGACCTGGCAGCTCTGGAGGACCCTGGAAGACACGTTGCATTTCATTTTCCCTGAGCATCTGTAGGCCTGACAACCAATGCCCACACTGAGAAGAAAGGAAGCAACCAAAGAACCCGAATAGCCATCCCCAAAACAGCATTGGTGTGAGGAGACTATGTTGCATTTTCCTAGTAAAAGAAGAAACAGATCATGAAATCTAGCTCATACTGCTGATACCCCATTGCACAGATGAAGAAACAGTGCCAGAGGCCACTTGAATTAAATTTAAAATGCCAATGACAGTATATAACTTCATCTGCTTTTTGTACGCCTTCTCCACCAGAATGTGACTTTCAGAAGGCCAGGGCCTTTGTTTGTTTACTGCTCTATCCCTGGAGGCTAGAACAGTGTGTGGAGCAAAGTGCTCAATAAATATTTGTTAATGTTAAAAATAAAATAAACTGAAATCGTCATCAAATTCGCTCTACTGATGCAAGGGTAGAACTTTATAACTGACTCTGGCTTGCATCTCCATTCTATCATTCTACAATTGAAGAAGTGATTTTCCAGTGGTTTGAACTTATATCAATTTTAGCAAATATATGTGTTAAATCAACAGTAACTTCCAAATAACATTGCAATGTAGCCACACATTTAAAGTCCATTTAAAAGCATTTTATACTTCCAAAACTAACACCAATTTCATTTGTCTCCATATTTAAATGACAAATTTATTCATAACTATTTGATATGATATGTTTTTAAAACTTATAGGAATTTTTTTTACATTAAAAATGTATTAGGACATTATGCACATTCACACTTCTGAATTTGAAATTTCATTTGGTGACATTTTATTTAACATAACTCCATTCATCCTCAGAAATCAAAAAGGACATAAAGTAATATAGACATGAAACATTTAATACTGTGGTTTCAAGAATATAATAGTGACCTATAAAATTTCAAAATCGATTAAAAAGTTGAGAAAATTGATAAAATTTACCAAGGAACATATTCCTAGAATTCAATTACAAAAAAAAATTTATGAAAAAAACAAAATTCAGTAAAAGATAACATGTATTACACGTGTATGCTTGAGCTCCAATCTTTTATTTTGGAAGTGATGCTAAACACATTCTTGAAGATTGGCAAAAGAGCATGGCAATGACAAATGGCTTCCATATACAGACTCTCAAGACTCATGTAGTAAGAAACACAAAAAAATTCTACCTCCTTTATAACAAGAACCATGTAGTCTGGTCTCAATAGAAGGTCTTCCAAATTACTCATTAACCCTGATTGCCATATATGTATGTAATTAACACGAAACATGATCTATATTGATTACCAACATGCTACGTAGTACCCATCTCAAAGCCAATAAAAGACTAGTTTGTCTGTCTTTTGAAAACATTTTCAAACATCTATCCTTATTTTTTCTCCCCCTCTTCCTTTTCCTTTCTAGTAAAAGTGCATAGGCATTTTCTCTTAGTCTGACCTCCAATATTGGAAAAATAATGGTCTTTTAACTTCCCACAATTATTTAGCATAGAATTAACTATTAACTCAAACAAACTTTTCATCTGAGGTATCTTGTTGTCCCTCCAAGAGTACGTATAAGTCATGCATATGGTATATTACCTAATAATCTTACAGTAGTTTCCACAGATGAAGCTCAAACACTGGTGGAAAACTTAGGTTTGGGGGTAGAGACCAGAACTGTAGAGAGGGGTGATACAATTCTTAGTCATGATTCCATCATCATTATCAGAGAAAGAAAAATTCCCCCTTTTAAGATAAATAACAAAAGATGTTTCTTACTAAGAAAAAGTTCTCTCCTTAAATGCATACGACTGGCTACTATATAACTTGCTGAAATAAATTAAGATTTTCATGCAATCTTTTTGGGCGTGCTACTAAATTTCAGGCACTATTCAAGGCACTGATAAACCGATAATGCAATAGTAAATAAGACAAACAGGCTGTGTGGAGTTCACATTCTATTAAGAAAAATTTTTAAATAAATAAAATCAATAAGCTATGTGGTATATTAGGAGGGGATAAAAGCTATAAAAAAATAAAGTGGAAAAAAGAAATATAAAAAACTATATGTCCATGTATTTTAAATAGGAAAATCTAGAGAGTTCTAAGAAGGTGACGTTTGAGCAAAGATCTGAAGGAGATGAGAAAATTTTTCATGAGGATATCTGGGGGAAAGAGGCAGAAAGAGAAGTGCAAAAATTCTGATGTGGAGGGATGCTTGGCAAGTTCTGGGTAATGCAAGGATGAGTTTGGCAAGAGAATAAAGAGAAAATGTTCTTAAGAGATGATCCAGGAAGAGTCAAGGTCAGAGGTGAGAGGATATATTATGTAGGGCTTCAGAAACAAGAAATTGAAGTATTTAATAATTAATTTTGCATTGTACAGACAAAAGTGCCAACCCAATCAGAAAATATACTCTCCGGCTGCACTGGTGCTTACTAACTTCATATTGGCCCTCCTGACACTCGGTTGTAAGGACTTGGTTGGTACTCTTGCAGAAGATTTTTGAGAAAAGTGAAATGATCTGAGTGAGCTCACTCTTAATCATGTGTTGTAACCTGACCTCAGGGGCCAAGGGCAAAGCAAGAAGGCTAGTTTTTTGATTGTTAAAATATAACAGGTGGCGATAAAGTTGAACTCTTGGTCTGACAGATGATTTATAAAGTGGTCAATGTGGTTTTACATACTTTGAAAGAAAGCCAACAATATCTGCTAGTTGATTAGATGTGACTGAGTCAAAGATTGGTGGAGAGCAAGAGAAGCTGACTTCAAAGTTTTAAGTTCTAGACACTTGAAGGTTAGAGTTGACAGTGAGATGGGAAGTCTAAAGGGGAAGCCAGGCCAAGGGGAAGGAAGAGAAGTTTGGTTTTGTAGATGTTAAATGTGAAACATCCAGTAGACATCAAAATAAAAATGTTTAGATATATGAATTCAAAGGCCAGGATACTACCAGTCTTCTCTATGAATCCATAATACAGAGAACATTTCATAGCTTTCTGGCACTAAAATCGTATCATTATATATTTTTAAATTTTTAGGTAAGAATTTATAAATCATCATGCAAATATTTCAGTTCTATGCAAGAGAGTCAATTATGTTTGTATGTATAAAATGTAGCATTTTTTCTTAAAAGGCAACAAAGCATTTATGGTTTCTATCTGACACTTGTATGATTCCAGTTATTCAAAAAAAGGAAAAGAGAACTTGCTTATTTTTATTTTTAGAGAGAGGTGATGCTATGACATGAGTTTTTGATGATGTCGTTACTGTGTGGAGACAGACCATCACATCGTCATGGCCTCTTTTCATTGGCCAAGTAGTTAACTCTTGATACCAGAAACCCATGGTATTTAAAAATAGTCTTCTGCGTTTACACTATAATTCCCTTTGGAGTGACAAGAAGTGAAGACCACATCTCTGGCTTTTCATGCACTCTTTGGTTACCCTGTGTTTATTCCCTCTCAGGATGCTTCCACAGTCACTGCTAGAAACTTGGGCTCCTACTGACATGGCTTTAGGAAGAGGTGGCAATACCAATTCTTGATAACCTCAAAAGTTGTACGGAAAAATCATCTGTGTTTGAGGTGAAGAAAGTAAAATCTGCTGTAGAGGGTTCTAGGTAAGTGACTTTTTTCTTCATTGATGGTCTTTTCATCCACAGGTAGATAAATGAGAAAAACTCACAGAAGATATAATGCATATTTATTGAGTGGGTATTTTTTTTCAAGTCAGGCTGAAAATTTTTATTTTACTTAATATTTTGAACTGGGATTATTTTAATAAGATTTATTAAAACAACACTTTTTATAATACAAATTTCAGCATTCAGTCACTTATCTAATCCAATAAATTATGTTATTTTATTTACTGATCACTGTCATTGTTATATGCAACTTAAAAGTTAATTTACATCTTTATTCAAACTAGCTTTGAAAGCTTGTATAAAAGTTTAGAATACTGAAAATATCATCTTGATAAAAAGAATTGTGTTTTTCCCTTTAAGCCCCAAACACTAAAATATCAGAAAATTTTGTGTATCCTCACCTAATAGCTACAATTTCTCTCATAATAAAGTTGTTGCTGTTTATTTTAGATGATATTTTAGAAATCCATTTCACAGATGCAACAAATCCAGTACTACCAAACTGAGCATTTGCCATATGCAAAATAAATGCTTCTTTAAAGCAGGAATATGTATTTATTCAAAAATTATATTATACCATTTATGATACTGTATTTAAATGAATATATTCCTCAAAAGATCAAAGTATTTGAGCCAAACAGTACTGTATTTAAACCTTGATAAGAATAGCTTAGTATTCTTATCAAGGATTTGTATAATGACCTCTTATACATCTTACTTTTTCTGGAAGTTTTGAAAACAAAAATTACTTGTTTTTTGGAGTTTTATTTATTTTTCAACAAATATGAAAACTATATTAGCAACAAAGACAATGCTTTGCACCTCTGTTATAAACCTATTATACATACTTTGCTGCAATTTCTCAAAAGATTTGAGGATCAATTCACTTTTAAAAGTTTTGTTAGAATTTATTTCACTGTTCCTTTATGTCCCTCTCATTCACTACAAGAAATAATTATGACAGAATAATAAATGCATTGATATAATTAAGGACAAAAATATTTGCATTTAAACTAAGTTGAACACTGACCAAACACCTTCTAAACTGTAACAATGTCCACTGTGAACTATAAAAGTGCATTTATTATATTTAAGTCTTATACTTATTTGGTTCCTAATTTTTAAAAAATTTTCAACAGTATCATTTTCACTCCTCCAGCACAACTTGAGTATTTCAATCCATAGAATTACTGTTTTATATATTTTCCTGATATAACTTTCCTAAAGGACCATAAACATGTCCATAACCCTTTAGGTTGTTTCTAGAAGAAAAGGAAGTCTGTCCCTGAAGTCTCATTGCCATGAGTCTAAGGGTTTTCCTTTTGTGAAGAGTAATAAGTATCTTCTCCAATGTCTAAAACAACTCTCCATTTTCTTGATGCATGAGAGACATTTCTGTTCCCTCAGGAACATTACAGATACTTCAAATGTTTAATTTAACAAAGTGACCTAGTTTACAAAATTAAAGGGACCCTAGCTGTTTGGCTTTTCTGTTTATGAATATATGAATTTTTAGTACTGTAAAGTAAACAAACATTTTATATGAAAAGACTTAAGAAATGTTTTTGCCTACATTTATGCAAACTATTATAGAAAGAGAAGAAATAATGCATGCCCACTTCAAAAACTTGCTTGCAAAACTCTATTTAATACCTGTATATTGTTTTAGCATAGTGCCAGGCTTGTCAATAGTGCATTCAAGTTACTGTATTGGACGTACACAATAAAGACTTACACTGTACAGGAATGCTTATAACAAGGCCTCAAATAGCCTTCTTCAAATGATAGCTATATTTCCTCTGTACCATATAATCGTAGTTACTTTTCGGAAGAGAGTACAGATACAATCCATGTTCTAGTATCACTGTTTATCTCATTTTTAAAGAGGCACTTCTCCATATTTCTTAGAGTATATTTTCATGATAATATCTTCCATTTAGAATATCAGTCAAGAATGTGTGCAACTGTCACTGACAACATAAAAGTTATTTATTGTTAAAACAGCTTTGGAAGCAGCTGCCCTGAAACATTGGAAGAAAGAAAAGATACAATAGAAGGCAGAGCAAATAGGGTAAGAGAAGTAAATGAACTACTGGCCTATTCTAAATCAAATGTCATAAATCTTTGATGTCTACATATTTTCAGTAAGAACATACCTTAAAAAAAACAAAGCATAGCTCTCAAAACTGACAGGCAAGTTCATCAGGGCAAATAGTCTAGTGTTTGTGTGTCGGTGTGTGTGAGTGGGCATGTACTATTACAGTTAAATTGAAAGATGGGGTGCTTATTTGCTAAGTTTTATAACAACAGACACAGCTACAAGACAAAAAATAAGGGGAAAAGTAGCTCCTACATGGTACTAGTTAGCTGAAGCTGAGGGGAAATTTTATAAACTTGACTAAGTATCTCTTGACTATGCAGCTTCAAACACATTCCTAGAAAATGAGTTTTCTCACAGGCTGAACTAGATACAGCTATTTCAACAGGCATCATTATTCCAATCTTGTGCATTCATTTTAAAATATTTTACACAATCCCACCAATTCTGAACTGCTCATTTGAAGAAGAGCAGATGAGCAACCATCCCTATTCAAAGTTTCCAAATGTGGGGCAGGGAGCCAGTGTGTATGATACTTTGTAATTAGATAGGTAGAGATATAAGAAATACGTCTGCCTAATTATTTTTATAGAATGCCAGTCTAATGACAGGGGAAAGAAGCTGACTATTCTAGTTGACATTTTTGAAGCTGGTAGAATTTTGAAAATTGGCAATAAATGAAAAGAGAAATCAATGAGAATGAAAAGTTCACTGCCTTCTGCACTTAGTTTGTTTGTATTTCATTCCAATGCACCATATTACCTACCACTTGCTTATATAGTACATAAAGCCCAACCCTGGGAAATGTGTGTCAGGTTGGCAAAACATGCAATAGTCAGGGTTCTTACACAGATAAGAGTTGTTGCAGCTTTTTATACTAAATTCATTCCCACCTCTATGATATTTATGAGTAGAACAGAGTACCTGAGAGTCATTAATCTTCCATACTTGACTAGACATTGGCATTTTTAAGGGATCTTTCATTCATGTTACTCATGTATATTTATAGGCTTTTACAAATATTAAATAGTTCATTGGTGATACTGTAGACTGTACTGATCTTGAATTTAAGATTTTTCATTATAGAATTACAACTGAAAAGTGTTAAGATTCTAGCTCAAAAGTGTGAAAAGGTTGATACACGTCTTTATTTTTGTTGGTTTCCAAGAGTTTCTGCAGATATTTTTCTTTCAAAAGAATATTTTAATGGTAAATTCTCAATATCAAAAATTACCAATCTGAAAAGGTGGTAAAATTCTTGATTTTTTTCACACTAGAATTTGAAATTTAAAGTAAGCTATTTAAAATGTGCTAAGAAGGCAGAATTTTTATGAAATAGAAACTTTCAATGACATAAGGATTATAGAGTATATTTAAACTATGTTATGCTATCTCAGATGCCCTCAGATGCTTTGGTTGTATCTCCTGGATGCAACATGTTCTTTCAATCTTTTCTGAAAAGAAAATCTGTACTTACAGGATCACTGGGATAATTCACTTAAATGTGAGAAAACCTTTATTATTCTTGATCACCTGATACTGCCTGCACTATGTAGAGACCTGTTGTTTAGAAAAATAGATTTCACTAAAATGGCATGGATTCAAGATTGTATTACGAATTGGAATTCCTTTCAATAGGTTCACTAAAAATCTGTTTTACTACACCTCATTTTCATTAACTTTAGAGAAAGTGGTTTTCCAAAGTTAGCATCTCATGTAATAATCGATATCATCTCTAAGACTGTTGAATAGGTATGTTTTATCTTACAAGCCTGTCACATCAAGGATTTATTATAGCTCAGCAAAAATATGTGTTTGTGTGCAAATAGGTGTTTTATAAACCAGTGTACAATAAATTAGAAATTAGCCCCTTATCTGTATGTAGCAATTTTTATGTTCAAAATTAGCTGTCCAAACACTGTTATGTATGAGTTCTCTTTCTCTTGGTCAAAAATTTTTGAGGGAGAAACATTCTTAAAGTACACCAGACAGTGATTCAGTGGGGTCTTGAATAAAGGACACATTGTGAAGACAGCAATTTAAAAAGAATCCACTCTCTTTCAAAATTCTGCATCTTAATTGGGAAAACATCCTTTTACAAGAATCCAGGAATTAAATAACATTGAAGAGTTCAAGTGTTCAGTGTACCAGATCAACTGCCATTCTTTGTCTCCAAAATACAAGGCCAGTGAGAGTCACTAGAATACATTTTCTGTGAAATGCAAATCACTAAACAGGAAATACATTTATCATAATAATTCCCTATAATCATCTAGTTCCTTGTGCCCATTAAAAGTACATTTGAATATGACAGAGTTTCAGAGAAAAACAATGAAACAACCACTATGAGAGCTGAAATATGGCTTCATAGGAAACAGGGCTACATTTAATTAGCTTTGATTATTCATGTGTCTTTTTTCTTGTTGTTACAGTTCACATCACTGGCAAGGACTCATAAGCCAAATTTTTCCATTTTTAGTTATTACCAAAACTTACAAACTTGACATAAAGATTACATTATATTTACAAAGAACTTGGCACTTACAGAATAAATTATTGACATTTTAATCCAGACCAGGGCCCCCATGGTTCAGGCAAATGGAAAAGCCTGATGTCTTATTATATATTATGCTACATTAACAAGAATAAATAAGTTTCCAGCTGGTAATTCCTCCACAGTGCTGTCTCTGTTGCTGAAAACAAGTACCTTTCTTTTCCAATCCATGGGAAATGTAGAGAAGTTATCAGTCCAGAGAGAGCAAAGGTTGCATGTTTTCTTCCTCATTTTTATCCATGCGTTTTAGGACGGTAGGATCCACTACTGATTGGGATCTGGAAACGATAGAGGCTCTGTCAGTGAGTTATTATCAAATAATCACATTCTCTTCTCTGCCTTTTCTCCGTTATTACTTCTCTCACTGATGCGCCTTATCGTCCTTTACATCAAGGGATTTATGAACTGAGGATGCTGAGCATCAATTTGCATTAGAGGAAACGATACCCTCTGGCCTCTAAATGGAATACACAACAGCAAAGGATTCTAAATACACAATAATGGGCTTCAGTTTTCCTATTCACAAAGGAGCAAGGGTCTTTTCTTTGAAAATGATAATTTGTAGTATAGGACAGATGTATTCCAAATGGGAAATTATTTCAGTGAAATTATTATTATGAGACATGAAATAGAAATTGTAGGAGCTTGTATTCCTGTCTTAAAGAGCTCTATGACACAAACTTAACATAAATGTGCATTTGTTTAAACATCATGTTTTTAATGATTATGTTAGGAAAATAGTTAAAATTTGAATGTGAGTTTTGTTCAATTTCCCACTGGAACATTAGAATAAAATCAATCTTACTCTTGAAATTTTGTGAAAATGTTTTAAGATTTTTTAAAAGTTAAAACCCTGAAGGGCTGAGTGAAAAAGATGAAAAAGGGATTAGGAAATACAAATTGGTTGGTACAAAATAGTAACATGGACATAAATATGGCATCGAGAATATAGTTAATAAGATTGTAATAACTATGTGTATAAATATGTGTGTATATATATATTTACAGTGTCAAGTGGGGGCAAGACTTACTGGGGGATCACTTTGTAAGTTATATAAATGTCTAATCCCTTTGCATATACCTGAAACTCATATAATATTGAATGTCAACTGTAATTTTAAAGTGTTAAAAAGAAGATTGAAGTCAAAACCCCTCTTGGTTAGGCAGTAACCCTTTATGATTAGGAAAGCAAATAATTTGAAAACCCCTTATACATGCCTTTGATAGCAGGTGGAAACAACATAAAACAGGAAAGGATGAAAGTTAATGAGACATGCTACTGTTGTGGCAGGAAGCTGCCATCATAATAGCTATAGCATTAAGGAAGCAGCTGCCCTTTTAAAATTCTCCGCGGTAATGAATTTTTCCCCTGCTGCTGCATTCCAGCCAATTGGCTAATGCTCTGCCTCTTAGCAGACCTCATTAACTTTCAAACAGAAAGACTATAAGCTAAACTACAACTGCACAGGCTAATGAAAAAGAAAAGCCATGGAACTAATTATCAAAGTAAAAATAATTACAAAGTGAACTGACATATCCAGTCCTTCTTTTAAACAAACTTAAATTCCTTTCTGAAGAAGGAATGAAAGGAAGGTGAGAATACTAATATGGTAATTTTATTTCCTAATTCATTTTTACCATTTGGTCTCAATGATAGGTATCAGATGCCTCTATCAGAAAGGAGATTGACTAAAGGCAAGTGTGTATGTATTTGCCTCTACTGTCTTTGGAATAAATAACTTTTTAAATTAAAACACATAATTTAAATTTATTTATCCAGGTATCATTTATTCATTTTTTATGCCTCTCCAATACTGTGCTAACCTTAGTGTTTAAGAAAAAATAGTAACATGGACATAAATGGATCCCAACTCCAGTTCTGCCACTTACTATCTCTGTGACCAAGGGAAGGCTGCTTAAAGTTGCTAAGATTTTGTTCCCTTATCTGTAAAATGGAGAACATAATAGCTACATCATACAGATGTATTGAAGATCAAATGCAATAATGCATCCATAAACCCCAGCACAAATTCTGGCAGCTAGCAAATGGTAGCAGTTAAGGAAATGATATATGGAATAGTATCGCCCATGTTCCAACATTAGCATCACCTAATTACATGTGGAAGTTACTTACCTTCTCTGCACTGGGTGTCCTCGTTAATAAGATGGGGACACTATTACCTTACTAGTTGTTTAGAAAAGCAAAGGCTTCAATACATAAAAACATTAGATAAGTTTTTGCATGTAGGAACAATAGATGTTAAGTATTATTCAATAAAACTTAAGGTCATGTCAGCATAACCATATTAGTATCATTACTCATTGCAACTGTTATGTGCCAGGCACTATCCTAGGTACTAGAGATATAAGGAGAAAGACACTTGCCCAGTTTAAGGCAGCCACAATCTAGTGAACTTTATACCACTTCATGTGACTATGCTATCCCTCCACGAATTTACACAGGGGGATCTAGTCTTTGTCTTATACATCCAGCTAAATTCACCCCAAGGGTTTATCTATAACTGTTTGGTGATGGAATGATTTTTTCCCCTCTCAACTTAAATATGAAAAAACTCAAAAAGAAGACAGAGGAGAAGAGAGCAAGGGGGAACGTAGGAACAGTGTCTCTTATCCTTTATGGAGGAACAGTTGTCATTCTCTGATGTGGAGAAGATAAGAGTCAAGTAAAACACATTTCTGAATCTCATTCTTTCACATGCTTTCAAATAGAACAAAATATTATATGATGCAAAGCCAGCACCAAACAAAGCATGTTGGAAATAATAATCAACCCATGTCAGAAGCAAGAAACTCAGAGTTGGGGAGATTGATGTGCTGTGAGCTGTCTGCAGGGAACAAAATGGCCTAATTAATTGGAGAAAAAAGTCTGGATCCATAAAGACTTCAAAGGGTGGATAGACTGAGCCAAATCTAACAACATAATGTTAATTGATTAAAAGTAATGTGCTTGGAGGAAAAAGCGAAACCTAGTAACAGAGAATTAGGAGAATATGGATCTAAAAGTAAAGAGACTTACTAGTTTTAGGCAGTGCACTGTGAGTTAGCAATGTGCTTTGGCTTCCCGAATGAGAACCACAGGGCAACAACAACAGAAACGAAAGGAAGCCCATAAAGTCCACACGGCAAATCCATAATTCCAGAACCTCAGTGCAAGTAGTACAAGTGTCAGATGTTACCTATTAAATTCTAAATACAACACTTAAAAGGGGCCAATGACAGACAGCAGAGGCCTCCTTCATTTTTCAACCAGTACCTAGCAAGCACCCTGTGTGTGCCAGGGCTTCCTCCAGGTACTGGGGATTCAGAAGAGAACAGGACAGACAAAGCTACTGAAGTCTCCATGAAGCTCACGTTGGGGGTGCATATAAAATTAAATAACATAAGCCATTTCACAGACTGGTAAGTGCTATGAAGAAAATAAAGGAAGTGATTGATAAGGAATGACTAGAATGAGGAGGAAATAGAACTGAATAAGACTTGGTGACTGAGAAAAATCAAAAGACCCTCTTCAAGAGATGACCTTTGATTGGGCCAGCCACTGTGCAACATAGGAAAAGAACATTTCAGCCAGATATGAGAAGTATAAAGACCCTTAGGCAGGAACAAGCTGGAGAAGCTGAAAGAGGATAAACAAGGATGCTGGGTCTGAAAAGTGGAGAAAGACAGAAAAGGTAAACAAACTTAGAAAAGAGAGGTAGGCAGGAGCAGATCATGTACCACAAGGTAAGCCATGATATGGAGTTGATTTTATATGTATAATCAGCAGTCATTAAAAAACTTAAAGCAGAGAAATAAAATAATCTGTTGCCATGTGGATAATTAAAGAAGGTAGAGGAGCAGTGTAGGGGTGGAGGCAAAGGCAGCAGGTAGGCAGTTTTGGAGTTAGTGAAGGTAAGCAGAGTGTGGGTGATGGGGGTGTAGCCAAGGTCATAGAGGATGTGCTCAGAGGAGGGGATAATGTTAGTTAATACATCACAGAAGGAGCGGCTTAAGAAAATGAACATAGTTAATGGGCCAAGGAAAAGATGAGGGGACACTTATGACAACTGTCTTTGAGTCTTTATATAGCTCAGTTCTAGAGTGAGGGCTCTCTCTGTCATAATATCACAAACGGGTAGGTAGAGTGTATGTCAGAAACACAGAAGACTTATAACTCATGGGTTAGAACCCTGTTTCATTACATATAGACTATGTAATTTTGGAGATATGATATCAGTTTAACAAGGTTGCTCTGTGGATTAAACAAATTAATATAAACAAAAAAGAGACTAGTAAGGCCTAATTTGTGGAAAGCAAATGATAGATTGCAACACTAATATTAAGATTATTATTTTTATAAGAAGAAACCTATTCTGAGTCCATGTATTTTCAATATTTTTATTTTAGAAAACTTTTTTTGAGAATTTAATGAAATATATGCCTTTTCTCTAGAAAAATATACTCTTTTTTTCCACACCTTTCCATACACAGCTTTGAAGACAACCTTTCGCACTTAATAGACCTCTTGAAGGGTCCATCCATGAATCCCTTTGGTTAGAGAGCAGAACTCAAATTATAAAGTCCCATTTTAAGAAAGGAGTTGAGAAAGCTGAACTTGGTTTAAACATGAGCTTGGTGACCAGTGGAGAAATTAAAACTGGAGATGTCATCAGCCTTTTCATTCTCTCCAAGGAGTGGTGGAGCAGAAAGGAAGACATCACACACATATCAACAGCAGCAAAAAAGAAAAAGCCAGCTCAAAGATCTGGGGTGCCACGTATGAGTCACAGCAATGACAAAGGACCAGAAGGCTTTCACCAGAGAAGGATGCATGACAGCGTTTGGGATGACATGTAAGATGTGTGTGGTCCCTCCTGAGCTAGGTGAGAAGAGACTTGCAGGAGCTGTGATTCCTTTATTTCTGTGATGAAAAATGAACCAATAATATTTGTTACAGTATCCACACAAACCCTGGGCCAGTGTGGCTTAGGGAAACCTGGGAATTAGATGTGTTGTAGTTTGCTAGAGAATGCAAGCTCAGCCGCAATTATGCGTTTGTGCATGTCTGGCAACTCTCCCACTCTCGGTCATCACTAGACAATGGCGAGATGTACATTCTATCCACATTAGATCCCAAATACCTAGGAAAGAGCCTATTACAAAGAACGTGTTCAATAAATTATGCACTGACTGAAAGAAAACAGGCAGAAAAATACTGTGAGAGTCAAAGCAGAGAGTCTGACTCAACAGTGAACTTTACAAAGATTAAAGCTGTGGGGAAATAGAGTGTTTTTTTCTCTGAGAATGACTAGATCTTTAAACAAAAACATGGCAGAAATACTGTAAAGAGAACACAAGCTTCAAATATTGGTGAAGAGTTTGCATGCATGAGTGTTAGCTACAGGTCCCTTTCTTCAAATGAAATCTTAAATAGAAGTCTAACAAATTGCTTAGATAGGAGGGATATTTTCATTGTGGAGCTGGGCACTGTCCCTGCCCCACCTGCCTGGCCTGAGAAACTCTACCAGAATCCTAAAGTGCAATTTGAAAAATCACTGAATTTAGTCATTTCTAGGGCTGTTAGATTGTCTGTGAATTTGCAATAACACCAACTTGAGATTACCTTGAATGACTTTATTTGACTCAAAACTCCTAGATATCCAATCATGGAAGCATGAAATGCTTCTAAATATCACCAAATATCTCCTTCCAAAAAATATAAAATGTGGAATTAGATTTGGAGGCCTCTACCCTGGCCTCAGCCCATTTCCCAGCTACCTTGGGCATACCTCTTCATGGACTTGGGGGAGAGTTCCTTTTCTACTTCTGTCACAGGCATGCTGAAGGAGTCCACATTGTATTCACTGTCATCGTCATACTCGTGGTCTAGCAGTGTTCTTGCCCATGTTCCCATGTCATAAGGGGGCAGCATTCCTCCAAACTCAGAGGGCAGGATCTCAGGATGAATTAGTTGGTGTAGACTATTCAGGTTGTTGCCATGCAAAAATATCTATGAATACAAGAACAGGGGTGAGCAAAAACGCAAAAAAGAGAATAAATATTATCTAAATGCTGTACAGAGAGAGTAAGGATAGGAAGCAAAAGCAAGAGTTTTCCATGTCTATTAAAATATTTAAACCCCCCATCCACTCTGTGAAACAGGCAGGCTGGTACTATCATCCTATTACTTCATATGAAAATTCCGAGGCTCAGGGATTTTAAGTAGCTTCTAGAAGGTCCAATAATTATTGACTTAAAGAGCTGGAACCAGAATTTGGTTTCCTGCTTCATAGCCAGGGACATAGCAGAATCTAATGTGCATGTCGATCTGCACATCATTCTGATGTTAGCTGTGCAAAACCGATAATGAACGCTGCTAAAACAGCTTCTTCTCATGTGGGACTCATCAGCTACAAAGTCTATCCAAGTTATTCAGCCCAAAAGCTGTCACTGGTTTGACTTTCTCTTTATCATCCATAAAAACAAGAATACTGTGACTGCTAAATTACCACTTCATAATGCAAAGTATATGATGTGAATAAAAGTAGATTAGCATCATCATAATGAAAGGTTGAGTGAAAGTTCATGTCCCAAAGGACTTATGTTCTGCAATGTTTCAGCATCTTCTCTACTAGAGAGTTCCATGTTTGTTGTTCAAGTTGAAAATAAAATAATGGATTAAAAATGTAAAGCTAAATGCATATATTAATTTTAGGTATAACTGTTTACACAAAGCATTTTGTTAAACTGAAAAATTATTCAAGCTACATATTCAAGATCTGTTTGCCCAAAAATTGCTACCTCTTTTCTTTCATTTCAATATCAAAACTGCAAATCAGTCTTCTCTGATAAAGCATTGTTGCCATCTCATTTAAAATCATATAACACTTATTTAAGGATTATAGTTTATAGTTTGGGTTCACGATGAACAGACTACCACATTCATCTTTGTTTTATAAACTTTTAGAATTAGTGATGTAAATATTTAGGAAAACAAAGAAAGACTAGTCTACAACATCAAATAAAATGAAAGGCACGGGAGTCACCAATTGACAAGTATTTTAACAAATTACAGAAGAGTAAAAGCAGCTGAGAGCAAGTCACTGGCCAAAATAGGCAGAAAAAAACCCAGCTGCCTGGAATATAAGATACAAAATATACAAAAGTGGAAGAAGCCATCTGTCTCAAACTACATCAAGTTAATTGCAAATTTTATATATTACCACACCTTTTTGCAGAGCACAACAGCCCAGGAAAACACACACACACACACACACACACACACACACACACACACACACTGCTAGGTTCTTCTCGTAAGAAATGAAAATAATTTTTCCTGGCAAAGTTAAGCTCTAGTATCTGAAACCCATATTTTATTAGGTATATAACCTTTATTTTATCAGGTGCATTACTTCATGTAAGAAACTTTCTCTTTCAAGTCATGCAAGATGTATGGTAATAAATCCTTAGAAAAATAAATGTAACCCAGCACACTACTTCCTTTCTTCACTAACACTCTCTCTCTCAAGATCCCTTTCTGCTTTGGCCTTTTTTCTTCTGTCACTGAAAAAATAGGACAACCAGATGAGACCGCCCCACCACCATCTGAGTCTCTATCAATTATGTTTCCTCAGCAATTCTCTCTACCTCTCTCACATCATCAAATTTCCTTGTTCTGCTGGATATTTAGCACCAGAAAACAAACATGCCAACTCTACTCTGCCTTCCCCCACACAAATACATAAAACCTCCAGTTATTCCAATTTCTCTCCTACCCTTCATTACAAAATTCATCAAAAGATTTGTCTATATTCATTGTCCAAATACTATTGTCCCATTTTTCCTGAATCCAATGCAAATAGATGTTACCTCCTACCACAATATGAAAGCTGCTCTTGTCAAGAGTCTTCTCATTGCTAAATTCACTGTCCAATTCTCAGTCCTTCTTATTCTTTAACTCTCAGAAGCCCTAGATACAGTATCAGGAGTGTCCAATCTTTTGGCATCTCTGGGCCACACTGGAAGAAGAGCTGTCTTCGGCCACACATTAAATACATTGTGACATGTGATCACACACACACAAAAAAACTCATGTTTTGAGTAAATACATGATTTTGTTTCATAGTCATCTTGGGCCACATGTGGCCCTCAGGCTGCAGGTTGGACACTGTTGGGAACCGCCCTGACTGGTATCAGAGGCTGAAACTCCCGCCTAGGCTAAGGCTAAGGGAACACCCTTGGAACCGTGAGCCGGCAAGGAGACAAAAGCTTGTCTTCCTGGCAGGAATGCTGCTTCTGCTGCTTTATTCATAACTGAACCCCAAAAAGCTTGGCCAGTTAGCCAAAGACGGGTAAGATTCCCCATGGGGGGAATGACCTAAGACAGGCACTATCACTTTGGGAGGCCCCCCCAAAAGAAGGACTTGGGGGGCTGCAGCAAAAGGGGGTGATGGACCCTCGCTCCTCGGCTCTGACATAGCCTGAGTTCTCAGCGTCTGGGAAAAAACCTTGTCTCCCAGTTGCCTTAGTTCCCGTGCTCCACCTAAGCCTGAAACAATGACAGGGTGTACTGTACTGAGCTCAGGGTGCAGCTCTGTACTGAGAGGTGAGGATTCTCCGGGGTGATCAGGCCTAAGAAAGAACATGTAAATTACTGTGAAACCTTCTTTGTTTAGAATGCTCTCAGTTGAATGAGAAGGGTCTTAGGAGGAAGTTATTTTGTTCCTCAGTCTTACAGCTCTTTGACCCCCAACTCAATAGACCAGCAGAGTTCCTTGTTTTCTATAGTTCCTTACTTCCCCCTAATGAGTACTGTACTTTACCTGAATTATTATGCAAAATGAGCCTAATAGAAGCAGGTATGGACGGTAAATCAGCGCGCTCCTCACTAGAAGGGGTGGCCATTTCGTCCCTACTTCTCCACAGAAACTAGTTTGTCTCTGCATGTGTGTTTTTTCTCGCGTGTTTATCGTCGAGCCATCCACAGCGTTCTGTGGTCACTGCTGGCTGGTGACCCACGCGCAACAGGACACCCCTGTAAGTGGATGGTTCTCCTCATGAAAACATTTTCTCCCATGATCTCTTGGTTTTCTCCTACCTTGATTAATGCTTTTGAATTCTCTTTGGCTGATTATTCCTCATTACCCCAACATCTTAATGTCAGAGAGCTCCAGGCTTCATGTCCCTCTGGGCTGGATAATAGGATGTATTGTAATTGCCCAACTATTTAATTTTTGCTCTAAGATTTTTCTCTGTTTTAACTAGTTCTATGTAATAGTATCATTTATTAAAGTTTTACTATTTTTCTTCTTATTTTTTCTCTTCTTCCATTCCATGCAAAAAATCTTGTCCTTGTGGGCTCCTTTGGCCCAGAGTACCTTCAAAGGCAAAAACAATTATCTTGAATAACACTTCCAACTTTTATTTCATTTTCCTAAACTGTGCCATTAAGGAGAATATGCTAGGTGACTAGAGTGGAATACTTTTGAAAATTAACGAGGCATAGCAGACAGAGTCCACCATTTGAGGAAGAGGTAGAAGTTTGTACAAATCAGAAGTGAAACCTGCTCCCTGCCAGCTCTTGGGGAGTGGCAAGGTCACAGCCATGGGCTAGCTGAAGAGTGCACTGGAGTAGTGGGTTAAAGCCTAGCCAGTGGGCTCTGGCGGCAGCAAAGATGCTCTTTTTTCACAGACATCTGGAGAGCAGAAGGAGAACTTAATTCAAGGAACTAATACTGGCTTGAATAATGATGTCAAAATTGGCCATGATAGTTGAGAAGTCTGACTCTGCATGACGGATTCCAGATATTGGTGAGATTTTGAGAAGAAGACACCCCTAATAATACCTAAGGTTGATATTTCTTCTCAGAAGCCAGGTATATTGGGGACTCAAAGTCAGATTGAAGTTAAGCAAATGGAGAACCAGGTGCTTGTGTTTTGTAAAAGAAGATTCACAATTATGCCTTACATTTTTCTGAATTACTTAGACCAACAGTAAGGAAAAATTATAGCTTTGCATTGTGCATTGATTGCATAAAGATAAAGTAAAGGAGTTTTAACCTATAATTATTTTCTTATATGAAAAATTCAAAGTCATATAGTTTTAATTAAAATGTTAAAGTTCAGATACCTCCCTTCCATCTAGAATAATGGTAGAAATGCATTCATTTAGGCACCATCAAAATTGTCAAATGCAATCAACCCCCCAACCTGGAGCTTTTCTGGTTTTCTAGATTCGATCCTCTTCAGTCTTTTTCAACAGAACAGAACCGTGTTGAAATCATGTGAGAACAATCATCCCTGTTCTCAAAGTCTTTCACATGCTTCTCATTTTACTCTGAAAGCCCAGGTCCTAGCAGTGGTATCCAAGGCCCTACAGAGCCGGGCACAGCATTTCCCCTCCTACCTAGTCCTCTGTTACCCTCCCCAATGCTCATTCTACTCCAGTCTTTGAGGCTTCCGTGCTGTTTGTCATATACACCAGGAGTTTTCTGCCAAAGGACCTCCGTGTTTGCTACTCCCTCTGCCTGGAGCAGCATTCTGTATAAACTCATACATTCCGTTCTACTATCTCTTAGCAGTGATTTAGAGCAAATTGCTTAACCACCTTGCCTAGTTTCCCCATATATAAAAAGAGAAAAATAAGCCTTGTTTTAAAGATTACATGAGTTAACATATGTAAATTACTTAGAACAGCATGTACAAAGTGACTACTATAAAACTGTTCACTAGTATAATTTGTACTAAAAGCCCCAGTGGGTGTTTTGCTCACCTGATCATCCCTTCATAAAACAAAATTTGCAAGTGTTATTTGCGAGGCACACCAATCCATTTTTCTGAATTGTAAAATGTAAATTAATTTGAGACTCGGTAAAAACAATTTCTAATATCAATTATAATTATTTATGGAATTCTTCCTCTTAAACTACTGGAACATTTTCAACAAATTCATAAGAAGAAAACTCTCCATCACTAATATTTGATACAAACACATACTTAACAACTATTTCACAAATTTCCACTCACAATGAGGCTTCTATGACACAGAAATACCTGAAGTGATTTTTTGTTCACTGAGAGGCATGGAAAATCACCTTCCACCTAGATTTAGAAGTATATTTTACTATGGAGCTACTCATTTGAAAATTGGTCACAGCACAATGGTAAAAATAGCTCTAAATGCGGAGCTATTTTGATTCGAATGTTGCTGTACCACTTTACAGCTGTATAAATGAGTAAGCAAGTTACTTATCCATCCTAAGACTGATATTTCTCTGCTCTGAAATAGGACATAATGTTTACTAAGCTTACTTTCAGGGCTGTTTGAAAAATTCAATAAAATATGCATTAAAATGCACTTTTAAATCAATATTATTAATAATAACAATAAACATGTTCAGCATTTACCACATGTCATGTACTGTGCTAAATGCTTTATACAAATTATCTTATTTTGCCCTGGCTGATGTGGCTCATCAGATTGAGTGCTGGCCAGCATATAAATAATCTTATTCTCAGAGTAGTGATTTTATTGAGTGTACTATGAATATGCTCATTGTGAGGTGAAACTGAATCTAGAAACTCAAGGTACTTGTAATTTAAATGAATGTTAATATTTCTACACATAAGCATTCTTTCTAAAATGTGTGATCGGTCAGAACAACCATGACAAAAATCACATTAGCTATCATACAATGCATTATATTTAATGCAATACATATTGTGAAGTAATTCCATTTATCAACTTATAATATTATAGCTTTTGTCTAGATCTACTTGATATTAAGTGTACCAATATAGAGAGGTAACAATATTTTTACTTTTAAACAGAAACATTAATATATAATAAAGTGCTAAAATGTTCTTCTACTTTGTAGAAAAGTAGGAGAGCCAGCTTTTAAATATTTCTTTCACAGATATTGTTCAGAATGAATCACATATCTTTTAGAATTTTTAAATGTCTTGTGTGTTGAATATTGACATGCAATATGGAAGCATGTTTACCATAGCCAATATTATACACATACTATGTATCATAATTCATTGAATGGGGAATGTGAAAGGAAATAAAAACAGAAATAAACAAATACCCTTTTCCGAGTCTTCTCCTTTAGGAAAGGCCGGATTACAGTATACAGGGCATGGATATACCATGGTTGATTGACAAAATGAATTCCTCCAAATCGTGCTGGGAAACTGTCCTAGAGGAATATAGAGGGAAAGAAAATCCAACGTGCTTTAATACATGGTGAAGGTTTAGAGAAAGTCATATGGTAGACAAATTTTTTATTCAACACAATTAAATTAGATCATCTGTATAGTTAGAAGAAAGAAGGAATTCATCACATTAAACATTGCAACTTTCACACAAAAACAGAACCAATACATAATAAAGCAAATATTTCTCAATAAAGATTGTTGGTAAGGATTTCAGCATGTTCAGGATTGCCATATTTTAAGCCTGTAAACTACCAATAGTCATTATAGGTCAAGAAACATAATTAAAAGGCATTAGAAATTTGCCAAATAATGAACCTATGATAGATGAGTGTTTTATTTAAATGATTTATATTTATGTTGAAGTATACTAAAACTAAAATGTTTTATTAAATTTCACTGTAGTCATCTATAATGTGAGCAATGTCAGGTATCAAAACTCACTTTATTCTTTTTCTCTTATTATCAACTTTATTTTAAACATTCTTCTGTCCTCATTTCAACCATTAACAAAAGAAACTGTGCTTAAGCAAAAGAAAAGCCTAGAATTGCAGTGTTAGAAATTTGGAGATGGATTTTGCCAGATTAAATAAAAGTCAAAACCTGCTGAGCTCACCACACATGTGGAAATGGGGCTATCATAACGGCAAGAACCTACCTGTGTAACGTTTGCATCTGAAGTGATGTAGAGAGGTACATCCCAAACCTATTCCACAACAGGAAGGGAATCCTTAAGCAAAATTAATCGCAACATTTGAAGTGCTATGGATTCCACATAAATAGACCTGAATCTTGCTACTGTTTAAAATTTCCACACTTAATTGACTGCTAATGTCTTCTTTAAGGAAAACTGTACCACTAGAAATGTGCTTCCAGTGGCCTCACAACTGACATTCTTCTGGATTCTACTGAGCATTAACAGAAACAAAAATAAAGAAATAAAATAACTGTACATGCATTTCTTTTAATTTGAACATTCTCTTGAACAAGATTCAAAAGATTAAAAAACATGCAAAATATAACACCATTAATCTATTTTGCTTTGGGAGACATATAAGCCTTAGTAATTATGTACTCTGGTTTTCAGAACTGATGAGCATTTTTACAAAGTAATTTCTACCTCTGAGAATAACACACTATTTAAAAACCCACAGTACCTCAAAAATAAATAAGTTACAATCACTAAAGGTAAAATGTGATTTCTTTTATGACAGTCATTACTTCTTCTATAAACATGCCATTCATCAAGAGGTTAATACAATAATAGAAATAAATCAAATAGAAATTCAGACAAATATTTTTTGAAGTAATCACATTTTATACATGAAAAGAAGATAAATAACGCATATAAAAGTAAAAACAAAGCTAAGATCAACACCCACCAGTCTTCCACTCAGCTGAAGAAATAGCAAATTGTTGGTAACCTTAAAATTCACTGTATTCATATTCTTTCACCCTCCCTCACATTTTAAAATTTCACATTATATTTTAAATAAAAGCATTTACTTGGCTTATATTGTATTTTATAAATATTACAAATATATAAATATATTTACTCTATAGTTTATGTATTTTAATGTATTTTTGCTATATACATAAATCTAAAATATACTGTTAAGTTTTTTAAGTACTTAAACTTTGTAAAAATGTTATCATAGTGCATGCATTGTTCTGATGTCACATAACATTGATTTTGAGGCTCATTGTATTGAGGTTTACACATGTGTATAGCTTTAGTTCGTTGTTACTGTTGAATAGTAAAGTATTATGTGGTACAGCAAGTTATTTTTCTTCTGTTCATGCACACTGTTTCCCAGATTTCTGGTTTTTCTGCCATTGCCAGCAATACTGCCCTGCAGACTCCTTCTTAAACATGTCTGTTTTGCATATTCAAGTGTACTCTCTACATAGGGCATTTATCTAAAAGTGTCAATAACAAGTCATAAAGTGTATATACCTCTACTTTACAAAACTGGTAAGAGCAGTTGTACCAGTTTATATTCTTCTTTCCCCCAGTAGTGCAGTTAAGTTGCAGCTGTTCCACATACTGCACTTGATAGTGTGAATTTTTCTAGTTTTTGCCGATCTAGTGTGTGTAAAATAGATTCTCACGAGACTTGAATTGTGTACTTGCTTGGTTTTTGCTCATTTTTTTACATTCCATGATTAGTAACATTGTTTGATGACGTACCTATTTAATACATAGGTACTTGGTTTTTGAGTCTTTGAGTTCTTGAATTTGCTGTCTCTGCTGCTCCTATTTGTGGTGACTTGTTTATGGTGAGTTCATATTTGGCTAATATTAATCACTGGGAATTCTGAATGAGCTTGTTTGAGATCATCTGTCTATCAACCTGATTTCCCTTTACTTTAATTTTCCATCTTGGGGTTTCTTTGTGCAGAGCATATTCAAATAATAGAGCCATCTAAAAAATTATGGCTGTAGATTATATCAGAGAAGACTATTATTATCATCTCCATTATTAATGGTGATATGAGTGAGGCAGAGAAGTTTTCTTAAAGGTTCCCTGGCCAGTGGGGATTTTCCTAGCACAAGCTATCCCTAAGGGTATAGCATCCAGAGGAACACAGGGTCGGTCTCACATCCAGTTGCCCACTTGCCCTCCATGATGCCAATGTGATCACAGTGAAATCCAAAGCCCACTACCTCCACTCCCCTGCTTAGCAACATGTCACTTCCCTCCATCCCTTTCATTTCTATTCATGTCCATGTGCTGTTTTACAACTTACTCACACTTTGTTCTCTCCCATGTGCTCGCTGTGTCTTTTCTTCCATTTTTGCACAATCTGCTCTTGCTAATTCTGTAAGAACTATTCAGGCAATATCATCTCCAGGAAGCTGTTTTTGTTCCCTTCTCTACTTTTGGACTCACTAAAAGCTCTCCAACACCAGCACAGTGTCTAAGTCCAATGCTGTCCTTGCCATATTACCCTGAAATTGTCTCTTTATTTTTACGCCTCCACTATTAAACTGTGAGCTCTTCGGTCTGTTGGTGCTGAACCTGGCATCCATTTCTACCCTACAAGATAGGAGGCAAAGAACTAAAACATATGAATATCACAGCAGGGATTCTGCATAGGAGAGTTATCTCAATAAGGAGCACTTGAGTAAGGTTTAAAGGACTTCGAGGAAAGCAGCAGTCACCTTCCTACTGAAGCTCTGGAGGGGTTTGCAGCAGAGTCTGAACCACACCTTCCACTTTCTAGATGCCACTTGGGAGGGTGAGAGGCCTCTGGGACAGCAGCAATAAGAGAGTGGAGACAGCAGTTTCTGACCTCTGCCTCACATCTGCAGAACTCAAAACCAAGACAGCACGAACAGTCCTCTCCTAACTTTCATTCTTCCACCTTTCCAATAAGGTTTGAAGCACTAACTCTACGTTTTAAATCCATTTTTTCTTGATCTATCCATAGAGATTTCTGTTTTGTGCACCAGACTCTGAACCAGACTGTCCCTGAATCATCTTTACATTCAAAGCATTCAAAAATGTGTGTGTGTGTGTTCCAGAATGGAACTAAATAAGTTTTTATTGAATGGAATAGATTCGGATATTTACTCTTTAAATAAACTAGTTTTCTGAGGCACAATCTCCTTATCTGATAAAGGGGAACAACATTTTATAAGACTGCTGATGGCTACCCATAGCTGTTACTCTGAGCACAGCCCCTAGGTACTGTCACATGAACGATCAACCCCCACGTTACACCCATGGAAGTGACCACAGAGGTAAACATAATGTGGATAAGTATACTTATATGTGTCATATATACATAAGAAAATTATTCAGGTATTTCTAGCAAAAATATGTTTGCCTCAAGCATACATCTATTCAAAAAGAAAAATTAAAGAATCTTAATTCAAATCTTATTCAAATTCTTTAATTTATTTTAATGAAATATAAAAAATTGTGTGTTAAGATATTATTATAAGCCAGTTGTCACATCTGAGAACAAATCATTACAATTTCTGGTGCAATCATGGTACAATTTGCAGTTATAAATATGAGCAAAGAAAACTTTTGTATGAGAAATAAATCCACAACTTTGGTCTCATTCCACAAGACTTATCTAGGGACCCTAAATCTATCAACTGTGGTAAGATGTGACTGCAGTGTGGACATCAGCAAAAATCGTGTGTAACCCACCCATTCAGATTTAAATCTGCTAGGTTTTTTAAATGTTTGTTTTTCTATTTTCCCTCTCTTGCACTTTGAAGCACCTAATTTTAACTGCTATATGCACTACAAAAAGTGCATATAGAAATAAAATTATAATTGCAGAAATTACTCCTTTTACTCCATAACTCTATCCCTAAAATTATACTAGGATCAAAAATATTACACCATCCTTTCATGATTCTTTTAGTATAAATATAAAATATGCTTACTGTAGAAATTTTGAACCAAAATAAAATATAATTTTTTAAATAATCACTAAAAACCTTACCAACCAGAGGCAAAAGCAAGACTCTAAGCATCTTGAGGTATGCTTCCAAATTTTTTCAGTTAAATTTTAAACACTTGACATGAAACTCTAACAGCCTGGAATTACTGTAATAGTGTTTTTATAATGTTTTATACATATACAACACATATGATACTTCTCATTCTAAAAATGTGCCTATGTATAGAAAGCAGAAGGTGATTATCGTAGCAGTTGGTGCTACTGGTTCCTTAAGTAGTATCAATATTAGTCTCCTTCAGATGTGTTTAAACTTACTAAGATTGGTCTATGTTGATGTGCAAACCACATCATGTTTTCCTAAGCATGTCTTTTGCAGGTATCCTTTCTAAATGGTATAGTATTATTTATATACCTCATCTCCACCATTTAGAATGTTGTCTTAGTTATTTGTATACACATCCTACTCATCTTCCTCAAGGCTAAGATTCCTAAAGGAAGCCATGTTTATAGTAATTCCGAAGCACTGCTCCCATTCCCTACCACTAGCATCTTGTGCAGT